TTAATAAAAATTTTTGTTAATTATTTAAATGCTTATTATTAATTTGTATTTAATTTTTTTCGTTTTTATTTTTTCACATTTTTCTGCTAATAAGGTCAACTACCTTAAGCAATAAATCCAAAGCAACATCGTTTATGCTTATACACATTTGTATATGCTTTGCGTCATATACATTGTTGCCGCCACACTCTCTACACCGTATCAACAAGAGAGCTCATATAAGATAATATTGCAGAACATCTGTGAATGTTGCTGGCAATTTCAGAGCAAATTTTTGCCTTTTCGCGCCTCTCCCTTTCCCAAGACATGTTGCTATTATTTTGAACAAATGTTGCTAAGGGCTGCTGCACTGCAAAGCAAATCATGCTCAGCAAATGCAGTCAACTGAGAATTTCGCTGTGCAATGCACTGCTAAAGTAAACGAAGCGACCGTACAAACGACTTCGTGAGAGCGCACAACGATTGTGCATGCGAGTGAGTAAATGGGCGAAGAAGAAGCAACCTCAACAGCGCGTAGCATTGCATATGCGTACAACAGTGCCTGCTTTAGTATTATTTGTGCTCTCAACAGTGTCGGATACAATCAACGGTTACTTGTTGTGTGTGGCTTTTTGTATGTGAACGCTGTACGGAAAGCAGCAATTTAGCAGCTGAAAACGGTCGAAAAAAGTAAGGCGGCTAAAAAATAACAGCCGACCCGAAATTATACACACTGTGTGGTTGATTAGTGAGTGAAGCAAGTGGATCTTTTATGTTTAACGAATTGCAAATATTTTACGTCATTTTTATTAAATTTTGGTTTAACGAAAATAAATTCACTTGAATAACACACAATAACGGGAATACCAAATTGAGTGTATAAGAGTGTGCGGTAAGCAAAGAAAAGGAATATAAAGTAAAAAGCAAAGTAACGAGTATCACAAGAAGAATAAAAAAGTTGTTGTATGTGGTCGCTTAAGGCGATTTGTTGTTACTACGAGCAAACGGTGAAACGCAAAGTTTGCGGAATTGCGAGTGTGCAAATTTCAAGGTATATCAATATAAAAAAATGTGAGGCAACACCTTTAAATTGTGCTCGTAGTGTATTTGCAAAGCATTATACATTCGATTAAAAAAATATGTGCAAACATACATTCACATACATTGAGTGTGAAGTATACATTTTTTTAGTGAAACAATGATTCAAACCCTAAGATTTTCGAGAATTTTGTTTTTTCACTGCCAACAATTTCCCCTACTTCGTTTGTAAGTGTATTAGTGTTGCTCTGCTTGAGCTTGTGTGCCTGTATAAGAAGTGCAAGTAAAAACAATAACAAAAATCAAAGTAACCAACAACAATGGCAGTTGCATATAAACACACATACATATTTACATGTGAAAAGTGCAGACAATAAAGTCACTCGAGTGCAATCCAGTTGCATGGCCAACTTATAACTCGTCGAAAAAGCAGCACACAGCATCCAGAGAAATCTTTATTGCAAGACTCCGCTCGATCACTACTTTCCTTTCTTGGTGCATAAGACAAGACAATGTGCGCGTACGGATAACGCAACGTAACTGGTTTGCAGTGCCGGCGTGTTGGAGGGGTCTTGTGATCGCTCCTTATATATACATATGTACATCTGTTTGTTTATCTTGCCGTCTGCGCTCACCTGTACCCGTGCTCAGCTCAGACGCGTGAGCGCGCCTACAAAGTGCTCCAGCAGCCAAGACGCTCGCATGTACAACTGTAATAATAGAGACATGCACACATCTATACGTACTTATGTAGTTGTGGAGTGGCTTAGCTGACAGCATTTTTCTGTATTTCAGTTTTGCGCTTACGTTTGCTTACCTGTCAAACCTGTTTTCAATACATAATGTCTGTCCGCCCGTTTGCTTCACCAGCGCCGTGTGTCGCCAACATGGCAAGCCAGCCAGCTTTGCGTCACGGCTTTGAGACGTCGTCACTAGTAAAAACCAGTCAGCAATCATAGTTAGCTGTCCATCTTACCTCACCTACCAATTTCCAATATCAGCAGCAGCGCATCAATATTGCCACTGATGGTGCGTTTATTCTGATACGTTATGTATTTATATATATGTATGTATATAAGTGCTTGTGTGAATGTTAGCGTTTGGTTTAAGCGTTTCTCTTGAAAAACGTCTGCATAATAATGCGAAATTTGTTAAGAAAGCAATAATGAAAAACGGAATAGAATTCATAGCAAGCCATAGCAAACACATACAAACGCTAAATGCACTAACAACACACTCGCAAATAACTCAACCTGTGTTAGAGTCTACGCTGTGTATGCCATTTAAGTTGCTTACGATGCATACCTACTTCTTGGAAGCCTTTCAAACGACTCAACGGATTTTACATTTACTTACCTTTTCTCCTTTACTGTAATGCTTGACACGGCCGAACGGACGAGCTGGCTCTGAGACAAGCCACGTTCGTGTGGCTGTATCGTGTGCTTCTTTGCTACCTGGCTTAGGCGACCCTACCTTTTGTATACGCTTCCTTTGCGCCCCTTGTCACATGCTGCATAAGTGTTCTATCCCATATGTGTACTTGTGTGTATGTATATCTGCAGGGGCGCTCAGACCAACTTGAGTCGGTTTGCTTGATTTCTTCGAGTGATTAAAGTCATTGTTTTGTGGCGCATTGCAGTGAGCAAAATAAGAAAAGTAAATGACACAACAACTACAACAGCAACAACAACTTAACCAAGAACCAGTTGTAGCTAAACATGTGTGTATGTGTATGTGTGTCAATATAGTGGACATGACACGAAGAAAAAACAAAGCAAAATAAATAACTTACTTTTTAAGGGCTAAGGCGAAGAAGCCATTTTGTGTGCGCGTCACAGCTTAAGTGTTAGAAAAAATAATAAATAACTATAAAATTGTAGGCCACAGAATAAAAAATAAACAAGTGAGAAAAATTTAATAAAAACAAAAACAAAAAAAAATCAATTGGTAGCAAATAAAACGCTACGCCATGCATTTCATATGCCAAGTAGTGCGCGCAAACAACAACAAAGTTTAACATAAAACGTATAATTTTTCTCCTTTCAGTGAAAAAGTGCAGCGAGAAATAAACGAAAATGTGTACAATTAGACTAAAGCAGCGCGCTTACTAACCATAAATCTAAATAATATTAAAAAGAAATTAATCAAAAATGCTTGCTTGCTACTAGCAATAATAACAACAATACAGATATAAAATTAAAAAAAGTTGTGCAAACCACAATATTGCACAAACTTTTTTTTATAGCTTGCTGCGCAAGTTTGCGCAAAGAGCTTCAAATACTTACAGTGCATAATTGTGCTTAACAAAATGCAGTAAAAACAGAAAAGTGTTAAAATTTAGTATAAAAAACATAAAATTAAGCGATAGCAACAAAAAGTGTTTATGAAAAAATCAAAATTAACCATAATTACCAGTTAAATGGCAGCTTATGCGGTGCAACAACAATAACACCGCAATAACAACAACAATAGTGCAACAGTGCTTCACTGTTGTTAGCGAGACAATAAAAAGTGTGCAGCAGCAGCAACCATTAAGTGCAAAGCTGGTTACTACAACAATAACAAACAGCAACTAACAACAATTCTTACTAATGCATTTATAGGAGCAGTCTAGTGACAACAACGAGACATTCTATTACAGCAAAGCAGCAGAGCCATCTTTAAAAACAACAACAACAGCTGCAGTAACTACGCAACAACAAAATGTTTGCAATGTGGATATACTTTTTAATCGGTAAGTTTGCTTCGATAAAAATACCGTCACTATTGATATTAAATTAGCAAAAAAGTTAAGAAATAATTAAATACCTATATACATAAATATGTAACAAGAAAATATATTTCAGAGTGGAAATAAATGTATATAACTGATAGTCTAACTGATGACCTATGTACATATATAGCTGCTAGATCATCAGTTAGATTACCAGTTATATACTTTATCTTCACTATGAAATATGTATATTTTCTTGTTTTATACATATATACATATGTATATCTATATAATATGTATTTTAAAAGCGGTATTATAGGCACATATTTTTATACTCACATACTTGTCATCTGATCTACCAGTTATGTGGTATATACATTCATCTTCACTTTGAAATATGCTTTCTTGTTAGCCATTATGCTAGCTATTTACTAGTAAATGATATTTCTTTTGCCTCCTATTTTATTGCAATCCGTTTGTGGTTTGAAAGTACATACTATGTTACTTAAATATATAATATATTTAATACTAGTTTGTATTTCACTTTTTTTCTCACATTCGTATCCTTTTCTCTACAATTATTTCTTTACAATTATCTGTGATTACAATTTAATTACCGCTAAATATATTTGTAATTAAGTCTCTGTCTTTTTGTTGCCTTACTTATCGACAACAATAGTTAAATAGTTGCTTTTAAATGCCGCTCCACTTATTGCAAACATGTAATCCAGTTGAGCAACGTTCTAAAAGCTGAGAATGTCACATAATATTTTTTTATTTTAGTTAATGTAAAGACTTTTTGCATTAAACTACATATTTCTCACAGTATAAGTTGAAATTATGTATAATTATTAAGTTAAAGTAGTAATTAAAAGCTTATGAACAAAAAGGTATCGATTTAATGTCGCTAAACATTCTCCAGATATGTAATTCTTGAAGAACATTCTTCAGGAATGTTTGCTAAGGCGATAATCTTTATGCGATTATTAACCCGAAACATACTACTTATAAAGATTATTTATTTGTAGGAGAAGAAGAGGGAGCTTTCAGAAATGATAATTTTTCATGTTAGCTCGAATTCAGTACTGAATGGTTGAGCTATGTATGTATATACATCGCTCCTAGTGTTGCCGTTTTTCTAGCACTTCTCGAACACATTCTTACAAGTTCTCACTAATGAAGATCTATCTAACTGAAATGCGCATTTTATTTAGTTATTTAAGAACCATATTTCTAATTTGTCCTTTACCTTCACGATCGAATTTCGGGACTATTTTGACGATGCTTTGATCGAATCTTTTATACTGCATGTTTCTAGTAACGTCAACATTAGAAATATGGTGTAGAGCATGTTCCTAGTATGAAATGTTTTCTGCCGCTACAATAACAACTTAAGCTAGTAATTTAGACAGTAGGTTTAAAAATATACTAAAAAATAATAGCCGACTATAAAAATCTAAATCTGAAGCTATTTTTGAGATGAAAGTCCTCTCGTTTATTGTGGAGGATCACGAATTGGAATACTTCTATCCTGAAGGAAGCCAAGAAAAGTGATTGCGTAACCCACTTTGCTTAATATTTTTGTATAATGCGGTTTCCAAATCACTTCACCTAGCTATGTGTTCTTCCTATTTGGTTCCCAGTGAGTTTTCATCTAGCTATCTTTCAGTATTATTGCTCACTGGAATGCATGAAATAGTAAATGTCTAACTGAGGATTTTTTTGAAGACAAATCGTTCTATAATAATGGTTTCGAAGCAATTAAAAAGCTCAAAAAAAAATTTCCACTTGTGAGTTTCAAAAAAATCAAATTTTTCTTGGTTATATAATATATTGAATGAGATATATTTGAGAATGAGACATATTAAAAAAAAAACCTTTAACTTAGCATAGTCGGCTCTCAAAACTCTAAACTCGTTTGTCTCGAAACCTTGTTTTTAGAGCCGGTCGACTTGAAAATCTCACACGACCTTCTTAGATAAATGTGTCAAGTAAGAATTGAAGGAATACAATTTTTGATAATAATTTCGATTTTCTAAACCACACTGATATACATTTTTCCATAAGAATATATTTTTCGGGAAGTAGACATTGTGTCAAATATCAAATTTTCAATACTTTTAAACACCTTGGTTGTAATAATAATTCTTTTTTATGATTTTTGGATTTGAGAAATTTAAAGCAGAAAAAGCTTAGTCACCTTCTAACAACTTTTTTTTGAAAGTTCTCCTTGAAATGGCTACGGGATCAAGAGCAGCAAAAGCTTTTCAAAATGAATTACCACTTCTACAGGACATTAAATACTGTAAATATAGGTTATTTTGATTTATTTATGGTATAAAATGCTTCTTCAAAACAAAAAATAAATAATAAAAAAAAAAACGAAAACTGAAATTGTCTTGGCTTGCAATTGGAATAACCCCTTAATCGATACAAAATGTCTGCTTAACCGGTATCAGTTGTTAAAACTAAAAATCTTAAATTATAAAAAACCTTACTTAAAATAAACACCGTTAATAATTACATGTGTTCTCACATTTTTCCAATAAACAATCATTTTGTATTTTCTGCAAGTATCAATCAAACCATTTCAACATCAAAAACATATGTCATTAACTGACACTGGCATAAATGTGTTTGTTCTAACACACTGCATAAATATTGCAAAGCATTAATATACAACCATATAACATATACAGTTTTACAAAAGAAATAAAAACCAAAATTATATTCTAACACCAAAGTCCCCAATGGCTACTTGCATTTCATTGCTTGCTCCCTAAACTATCAATTGCCACTGACACACTGTGCTGCCGTCAGCTGCTTTGCTTCGCAGGTTGTGTGCCTTGTTGTTGGTTTGACTATACTATACAACAACTCAAAGCATTTGTTGACTTTCGCATTTGTCACTGAGAAAAATAACAGAAAAAAAATGGAAAAATAGCAAAAAAAAGCAAAAAGCTGCGCTACGAAATCAATAGCTCAGAATTTAAACGCTATGGAATATATGAATGTATGTACATATGTATATAAAATATATGTATGTATATGAATCATATGTATATAAAATATATGTATGTATATTAATCATATGTATTTATATGTTTATAGCAGCTCAACCTCGGGGGACATATGCAATTTATTAGAAAATCTTTGTTATTGAGTTATGTAAGTTTTGAGCGTGACTGTTTTCGCTTTGTTGCTTGTATTTCCTTTTGAACTCGGCGTTTGCTTTTGAGCGCTGTTATTAAAAAGTCATTAAAATTATTTTAAAAATTAATAATGATTTTAATAATTTTGTTGTCTCTTCATTTAGGTTTTATCGTAGGCGGCAAACTCGTCAAATATTTTAAATGAAAAAGACTGTTGATTTTGCCAAATTTTTTCAAATATCACATCTTCTCAAAAATGTTTATTTTTGACATAATTTTAAATTATTTGTGTTATACGGTCTTTTTTTTTTTTTGCATAGTTCCAAAAATTTTTTAACAGACTTCAGTATGGTAACATTGTATTGCAATAATATATTTTTTAATATCATCATATCCAAAATTTTAAATGTATTTTTGGTGTGTTTTTGAATTCTTCGAACGAGATGGCCAAGATTTAGAAAATCTGATTCGAAGAGCTTTGTCTCATTAATCTGTTGGGGAGTTCTTCGGCCTAGTTGTATTTTAAAAATCTGTTTCGAGGACTTTTGTCTCCTTAATTGTAGTTTTAATTTTCTAAAACAAAGGCCTGAATGAGAATTCATATTAATTGGCATTATATTAAACATGAGGGTCTTGTTTTGAAAATTCAAATAAATTGTCGTCTGAATAATAAAGTACAAAACGCAGTGTGGAATTAATAATTATACCCTAAAGCCTTAATTACCCTAATTAAGTTTGTAACGATGTTAGTGACATCCAAAGGAAACATCGGAGACACCATAAAGTATAGTATGTGTATGCCAGATCATTTCCGTCTCTTCAGTTTTCGAGATATAGGCTTGAAATTGTGCTCACGTCCGTTCCTCACCAAGCAGCAGCTCATTTGTTGTAACCGCCGGTATTGGACAACTATAGGATATAACTGTAATACAAACTGACAGATCGAAGGCAAGTAGCCGAAGTTTTTATCATTACTGATCTTAACTGAATTGCCCTCAGAGCAAAGTTAAGCAATGTTTAACAATTTTCCTCAAAATTTGCATACTTTCTATGAATTCGTGAATTGTTTGTTATCTTATATTGTAAAAAAATTTAACTTTCTTATTGAAAAGTATATTTCTATTAATTTTACAAACAATTCTACATTCAATTTAATTTTTCTTCTAATTATGTCATCACATTTTTCAAACTGTCAGTCATTTGACTGTTTTTTTTGTTTTTTTTTGTTTTTATTCAGCCTTCTACAACATATTTTATTAGGTCGCCTATGTTCCTTTTTCTACCCATTTTTATTTACATTTTTTAACCACGAAGGTTTAATGCTAAGCAAGCATCACATTTGCTAGTTGAGTTTGTCTTTATTTATGCAACTTTATTACAAGCTTTTCGTACTTGCTTTTTAACCGCAATTTCCCCCCACATTAATCCCCCGCCGTTATTACGGCTAATTTTGTTGCCTTTGCTTAGGGCACTAATTCGCAAGCGTTAAAGCAATGCATGTTGCTATTTCAGCTGGTTGCGCATATTATTCGCCTCAACATTGCTGCCGCCAAGCATGTCCGACCCTCATTTTTTCCAAAAAGCATACTTTTAAGCGCGCAGCTAGCATTGTTTTTCTGCAATTTACTCGCCCTAAGAGTTTTCGCTTCTATTTTGCTTACTTTTTTCATTGCACTTTCTATTTTTTTTATTTTTGGATTTTTATTTGTTGCAAGTTAAATTATCTTTTCGACATTGTTGCGCGACGAGCAACAATAAAATAAAAGCACAACAAAACACACAATAATATAAAAGTGCTCGCGTAGGAAAAGCGCTGCGCCGAAAAGTATGCTACTAAACGAAATGTTTACTCTTGGTCATAACTGGTTT